TATAAGTTTGAATGTAAACAGTGTCAGCACAAGTGTGATATAAGTTTGAACGTATACAATTAGTGTCAGTATAAGTGAGATATAAGTTTGAATGTAGCATATTTAGTGTCAATAAGAGTGGGATGTAAGTTATTTGAATGTAAACAGTGTCAATATAAGTGTGACTGTACACAATTAGTGTTAGTATAAATGAGATATAAGTTTGAATGTACATATTTAGTGTCAATATGAGTGGGATATAAGCTTGAATGTACATATTTAGTGTTGATATGAGTGGGATATAAGTTTGAATGTATATAGATAGTTTCAATAAAAGTGTATTATAAGTTTGAATGTACACAGTTACTGCCAGTATGAGTGGGATATAAGTTTGAATTTATACAGTTATTGTCAATATGAGCGGATTATAAGTTTGGAGGTATACACTTAGTATTAGTGAGTTATAAGTTTGAATGTATACAGTTAGTTTCAGTTTGTAATACGGAATTTCTTGCCTGTGAATAAATTAGAGCTGGAAGAAAGGAGCATGTTCCGTTTGCTCTAGTCGTAATATAAATTAGAAATTCTGGAAAATATTAATAACTCATATCATGTGTTACACCCATGTAAAAATGAAGTGTGTCAAATATTTGCCTAATTATAGACAGTGCCTTAAAACTGATGTTGTAACAATTCGTTTTAAGTGAAAGATGTTATATAAGTCCCATTAGATGTGTTTCACACGTGTATGATGTATAGACAGTGCCTTAAAATTGATGTTGTAACAATTCGTTTTAAGTGAAAGATGCTATATAAGTCCCATTAGATGTGTTTCACACGTGTATGATGCTTAATGTGTGGCAACTAGTTTCACACGTGTATGACGCTTAATAACTTAAAAACGAATTTGTTGAATGAAATCAAGTAAAAACACTTTAACCTGATTCCGGAGAACTAGAGCAAGAAGTCACGTGATTTGTAGTGCTATAACGGAGCAAGTAAAAGTTCAAATGATACGTAGCTCATAAAGCTAACGCTAAAAGTTAATCTAACACAGGTATACTCATATAAGCACCGAAAAATGTGAAAAAGATCTTTAAATTTTGTCGCTGGAGTAGCATCTTTTAAAATAAAATCAATAACATTTTGTTGTTTATGTATTTTAATATCCCCTTCTTGTTCCCTTTAGCTTTGTGTGTCAGGGAAGCATTCAAACATGTTGCATATACATACGTACCAGAAAATACAACCCTAGTTTTTCATTGAAACCACTGTTAGATAGAGAAGAGTTAACATTGTGACGCCACTAAGCCAAGATGTTGAACTTTTCAATAAATTTTGACCCAAGCAAGCTACCTACATAGAGTAGAACTAAAAACTAACACAACGAACATGTAGCTAATTTACATTACTAATCTAATAAGAAATGTGCAGTGTCATGAAAAATGAACTAATAACGACTAGAAAATATAGATTCATCAGTTGGGAACCTCTTTGTTGGGCCAGATGTTGCTTGAGGGCTTATAACGCTAAAATTCAGGATTCTCTCCATAGTGTGAGCAACAAAATAAGTAAACGAACAAAACACCTATAAATGACCTCAGCTAGAGTTAATATGAGTTTGTTTGTTTTTGCATAGTTTAACCCATTCAACATATCTTAAGAGACAGTTCTTCGTATTTCTTTTAGTAAAAAAAAAATAAATGTTTGTAGTTTGTTTCTGAATTTCGCGTAAAGCTACACGAGGGCTATCTGCGCTAGCCGTCCCTAATTTAGCAGTGTAAGACTAGAGGGAAGGCAGCTAGTCATCCCCACCCACAGCCAACTCTTGGACTACTCTTTTACCAACGAATAGTGGGATTGACCGTCACAATATAATGCCCCCACGGCTGAAAGGGCGAGCATGTTTGGTGTGACAGGGATTCGAACCCGCGACCCTCAGAGTGCGAGTCGAGTGCCTTAACCACCTGGCCATGTCGGGCCAAATGTTCGTAGAATGTTTCTCTGATATCTTATCAACCTTGATTACTAACGAATGGGCCCCCTAGTGGCACAGCGGTATGTCAGCGGACTTACACCCGCTAGAACCCGGGTTTCGATACCCGTGGTGGGCAGAGCACAGGTAGCCCATTGTATAGTTTTGTGCTTAACTTCAAACAACCTAACTAACTAACGAATGGTATACCAAACGTTCACTAGTGGCTAAAAAATCGAGTTAGTCTATTTCATGAAAATAGTAGTATATGAAAGGCAAAAAAAGAAAGAAAAACGTGCACGAGACAGAAATAAGCTAAGTATCAATAACTTGTATCATCATTCCTCGACAACAATAAAATATTTTTGTTACTCTCTTTTACTCTTAACATAGAAAGTAACAGATTTATTCCTAAAAATTTCTGACAAAATTCCGCATAAGAATATTCTCGAATCTATTGTTCATTTTATGGTGGAAAATATACTTTGAAGTTACTTCATTTGTAAAACCTTTTATTTGTGAATTATATTTGTTTGTTTTTATGAAGAGAAAGAAATTTACGTTTAATCCATTTTTTTTTCTTCAAATGAAGGAATATTGTGTTCTTGACAAAGAGGGATCTTACTCGTAACAGCACTAAACTTCTATACAGTGACAAATGATACTCTTAAGGGGTAGCGGGAAACCTAACCATATTTCACAACCATGTCCTTGCTAGCTGGTTTGTAGTTGGTTACATAAAGTCATAAATCCTGTAACTTTTTCTCCTCTATTTTTTCTAATGTTACTAACTGTACCGCTACAGAATACTGAGTTCGAGTAGAAACAGTTTTGTGATAGAACCCTTTGAGGGTCAATAATTTTCCCAAGTATGGTTGTCATTTAGATCACGTATAAACAGTGCCTCCACCTAACGGATTTCATCATACGATGTAAATGTATCTCAGCTAAAAAAGTATTAATTTTACAGAGTAAGTCTAGATAGTGATAATAATAATTCACAGTAACGGATGGAATTAGATAAGAATACACGCATGCAGAATATAAGATAGATAAACAAGAAAGTAAATACGTGCAAATACAAACAGGGAGAGAGATTTTTTTGTATTAATGCTTTGTTTCTTGGTGTAGCTTTAAACATTAGTTCGGAAAGACGAAAGCTGAAGGAAAATCTTATATGGTATAGATATTGTATTTATTATTATTCTTGCATTGTTCATATTGCATTTCTAAGTGTAGGAATAGGTTATTAGAAAATTTTCAGGATAATGAAATTTGAGAAAAAGCGACACAGCTGGTGTAACTTTTCACTAGCATTTGCTGTCCGCACGCAAACCCGAAGTTCTCAAATGTTGCTTTTTTGTTGTTTTTTTAAACAGCAAAGTTGTAGCTGACGTGGAAGAGGAAACCATTCAGTATTCTGTTTCATTGTCTACATTCTCCGAACCAAACCTACTTGTTAACTTCCGTGTTAGGGCAGCTGTATCGAACAAAGTGTCAAGTTGCATTATCTATGAGAATTAAGGGCAGCAAAACTAATAAGATATGACTCGAAGTTCCCGGATGTTACTTTGAAAACCAAGAACTAATATCACCTAACGGAGTTCATAAAAGAGAAACATTATATAACACTAATGACGTAGGTTCAACCTTCTTAAAGGCTTTGTCTTTCAATTTCGAATATTCGATTACCAAAAGAATACTTTGTTTATGCTTCTTTTTTTCTTTACTTTTTAAAAATAACAACCAGAACATGCGGTATATTAAAGTAATTCTCGACTAATTAAAGAAAATATCACATCTCTAAATTCTGCGATTTTTTCTCTTTCATTAATGTTACATTAAATAATATTATTTTAAGTACGTTAGTACTTAATAGTAGGGATAGACGAGAATTCCAAATAATTCACGTGCCGAAAAATCACCCTATTGAATTTCTAAGCGAAAAACCGACCATTGAAAGTATTGTTTACGAAATATTATGTGCATATATACTAATGATACGCTAAAAAGGTACCTGTTATTTCCGGTATAACAATTCAAAAATTTCAAAAACAGCAACTTTTTCTTATACTACCTACCTACCTGTTCACGTCAGCGGGGCTAGCATCTAGACAGCTTGGACTATCGGTACAAGATTTCTCCAGCTTACTTGAATGGTATATACAGGTATAATATAAATGGTAAACGTACTTAAATATCTTTTTAACCTTATTCAACCCTACGGATGGCGCTACATATCGATGGATAGACATGCGACAGTTTCTAAAGGTAAAGTATATACTTTATACAGGTATGACATAAATAGTAAACAAACAAGAATATTAAAAAAATATGAAACTTAAAATGAAGTAGGGATCCTGCTACAAAAAGTAATGAAACAAGAATTAAAACTACAATCACAAAATTATAAAATTTAATCCCTATTTTGGCAGCTTTATACACTTGATCTGTAGACCAAAGTAAGGATTAAAGTTTATATATTTGTGGTTCTGGTTTTATTATTGTAAAACTTATAGCTACCAGGGATATTGTTATACTGAAAAATGGACACAACATCTATAAACCCCATGGACATATAAAACTGAACAAATAAATAGGAAAAAGAAATTAAAATTTTAACCAAAAGTAGGGATCATTGGTTATTCATAGAAGTGCTATAGAAAGTATCCAAAACAAAATAAATTCTGCAATACAAAGTACACACAAGTAAAGAGATACTAGTTGGATAGATTTTAGAACGATTTTCAATCCCTACTTTATACGCTTTATACACTTATCTGTAGGTCAAAGTAAGGATTGTGATCAGTATAGCTAAATGAAGCAGTCTAAATTCTCCAACCAAACTTTGTGTACTTTTTATTGCAGCATTTATTTTGTTTTGAATACTTCTTAAAGCAATTCTATGAATAGCCAATATTCCCTACTTTCCATTAAAATTGTAATTACTTTTCCTATTTATAAGATTAAAAAAGATTGAACCTGATTTAGAGATATTTTAATCAAGAAAACTTTATATTGTAGTTTTATGACTCTACATCATCACCTAGGTGGTGGTGGAGTTCGTGGAGTGGGTGTAGATCTGTTTGAAGCATAGCCTTGTCGTCTTCTTCTAAGTGATGAATACTGTATGAAAAAAGTTATTAGATTAAAATGTATCTATATACAGAGACAATAGAAAGAGAAACAACTATTAATTTAGTATTAAAAAAAAAGAGCATAAATACAGAAAGGGAAAATAAGCAGTGTTTGAATCTTTTTTTATCATGTTTAGTTCAGCCACTTGTGAAATAGTGGATTTTTTCTGGTTCCTATAAGATACCTTTCATGACTTTTTTATTAATCTAATCATTTTTTTAGTTTTTAATTTCTGATGTATAACTGATGTTTCATATGACTTTTTTTAGCAAAATGGAAACAAACACTAAATTTCAAAGACAAAATTTAACTTACTGGTGAACTTCCCCGAGAAAAATTCATGCTAGCATAGATTAGCAGTCCCAAATCTCGGTGTCCAGCCTCCATACATATAGTTAGGGCTGTGCTGCCATCCTGCAGTGGAATATAAAATAATTATTTAATAACCAATCGATTTTTAAACAAAAATTACTCTATTATCTTTAAAAGTTAATATTATTTTACATGTACAAAATGAAACTGATGATACTTCACTGTTTAATAATATTTTCTTAAGCTTTCCTAATTACTGCTATACATCCAAATCGACTATTAAAAATATATTCTATCAAGCTCCAAAACTATCAGAAACTGAGCTATATAAAAGCTATTAAAATTGGTTACAGATATTTTTACACTGACTTTTGTCATTATCACTACCAGACAAGATTACAACACAATGCATACACTGTGTTTTTCCTTTGGGCACAATAAATAATAGCATAATTTGTTATTTATTAGGTTTAATTTTACACCGCCATCAATAATAACAACAAAAGAACTTACTCTGTCTGTTAAATAAAGGTCACAATCGGGGTGAGATAGCAAAAGTTTGACCAGTTCCTTGTGGCCGTGTTCAGCAGCACACATTAGTGCAGTGGATCCATCGTCATCTTGTAGGTTGATCTCTGCCCCAGCTTCCAGTAGCATCTCCACCATTTTTACATTCTTCTGACTAACAGCTAACATTAAAGCAGTCTGACCATTCTGGTTAAAAAGTAGATTATGAGTATTATTCTGATATGTGGCTAGTTGAGAAAATATCTTGCAATTCACAATGCAAATTTGCCCAGTTGGGTGGATAATGACTTGAGTAGAACAAAACTTAAAAAGTTCAAGTTTAATCATAGAAGGTTTGAATGTTTAGTTTATAACTAAGCCTGGAATCATCTGAAGTATTAAAAAGTTTGATGTGAATGTTACTTTGATCTTTAAGCTGTGGAGCAATACAAATATGGCCTTCTTAATTTGAACGAAAGATTATAGCATAGCTTTTTAACCTGACAAACAGAAGCATATAACAAGGCCTTGTAACTTGACCAATAGAGGATTATAATATGGTCTTCTTCGTTGACAAACAAAGGCTAATAACAAGGCCTTCTAAGTTAGCCAACTGAGGATTATAACAAGACATTCTAAGTTGACCAATATAGGTTTACCACATGGCCTTATAACTTGATCAGTAAAGGATTATAACAAAGTCTTCTAAGTTGACTGATTGAGAATTACATGGCTTTATAACTTCATCAATAGAGGATTATAATGAGAATAATTTTGTTTGTGTTTATTATATATTATTGACCTGAAGGTCATCTTGATGGTTATGTAGACCTATTACCCAAGACTTATCTGTTTACAGAAGTTGGCAACAAAAACAACAATATAATAATTTTAGTGATTGTATAGTTTAACTACTGAGCTTTAGAAGATATCTTGGACATTTTTCCTAACTAGATCCCAAATTTGGTTAATATAATATAAAATGATGTTGACCTTTCTATAAACCTCACACCTGACATGAACATGTTATCTTGACAATAAGCACATATATGACATCATTTCTATAACTTTAACCACTGTATTTCTCTTGATGATTCACCATTTTCATGACTTCACCCACTATTTATTTTGACTGCTTCACTTCTATCAGTAATTAGGACCCAAAACCTACAATTTGTCAAGACTGTGCAAGAGATGCACATTACTGCTTCCAAATTCAGTTGATCACTTAATCTTACCAGCTTTGGGATTCATAAGGAATCCATCTGGAATTTATTGCATTAATTAATATATTGATGGTATTTTTTAACATATAGAACCCATCAGGAATATGTTGTATTAATTACAATACTGATAACATTTGTTTATATGGCACATACATTATTAGAGACCTTGTAACAAACAAAGTCATAAACCCCAAAAAGCAAATTGGTGCATGAACAGTTAAAAAAAAGCCAGTGCAGAACACAGGAACTTTATTAATGGTTCTAGAATTAAAGGATTACAAGTTAATAGCTCAATAAACTTATAAACATATGCAAGTTTTTCTTTAGGTATGTACCTACATACATACAGGTAACCAATACACCCAAATGAAGCATCCGGGGGATGCAACTGCATGAAAGTACCCAGCTAAGATGTGCCCCAGCCCAGAAAAAAAAAAGCCCTAGCTCCAGATTGGAACTTTAGCATAGGGTCTCAAGTTGACTAATGCTATTCCTAATTAAACCTTTTCATACAGCCTAGTCAACTTTGTGGATTTTCTTTGCTTTTTTAATTAAAGCACAGAAAATATCACAGTGGGAATGTGAATAGTCAGTGTCGATGAAATAACCCAAAGTCTGATGGAATCTAGAAATGAACTGAAACCAGTTTATTGTCACTGGGCCATGAACCAATATCTGTAAAGATGAATGGTTCTGCATTGAAAATCACAGAGGAAATTAGGCAAAACACGCAAAGTAAGCTAAGATTTCAATATGAATCATATAGAGGAAGAAAGTAATCACAATATTGTAATTTTAAATACTCTAATTATTTTTAGTACATTATCATTTTAAAATAATAATAATAATTTAGTTTTGTAAAGATGTGAACAGCAAAGTAGAGGACGTGAAATATTTCAGCTTATCAAAAGCTCAGGCCATAATAACATGGCTATTTGAATGCTTTGAATAAATTTTATGTTGTAAGATGCACAGAAAAACAAAGTAATTTACTCTTGATATAAAGCACTACTTAACGACAGAATTTTACCTCTGTGGTAGAGAAGCCTTAATTTTTAAGAGCAGAAGACAAGCTAAACACACCTGAGTTGCTTTGGAATTAATGTCTCCAAGGTGGAAGAGTCGTTGAATAACATCATGATGAGCATCATTTTTCACATCTGTTAATGACACCAACATCATGCAATTGTAGCCAGCCTGTGGGAAAGAGGAATCATGCTTCTTCACAAAATTTAGTCATGCAGTATGAAGTGTCTTTAGAATGCAGAAACGTATTTTCCAAGAGTTCTCACACGAGCAGTGTTTGTGATACGACACATACACATCACAGAATGCTAGTGCTTAATGAAGTAATGCGACACATTACCAGGCATACACACTACTCAAAATAATATTAACTATGCTTCTCAGAGGATTTATATTCAAAGCTTGTGATAATAACACGGCACTTATTATAAAACACAGAACATTCCAGTAGTTTCTGTTGCACATAGTAGCATTTATCATTGTTGCCCATCAGCATGCTGTTATTAGTAACAAAGAGAGAAAGTACGCGACTCTAACATTCCTATAAACACTACGAGGTATATTATAGTATTTTCTGTTATATACACATACATGCACAAAACATGACAGTTATATTTCATCCTACTCTGTGAGGCACACACTAGTGATACATGATAAACAGGGATTACACAGGATGCCAAAAGATCTCTTTGTTCCATCACATCACTCATTATATTGCACACTAGCAATACACAATGGACAAAGATAATAAAGGATATTAGAAGTTCTCCTTGTCTCATCTTCACTCATTCTGGTACACATGTACTGGTGATACACAATGGACAGAGACAACATAGGGGAGTAAAAGTTCTCACACTTACACATGTATAAAAGACACAACCTAAAATAAGTTTCACAAAAAAATCAAATGTTGGACAATTATCGGGACAACAGTTTTTTTATACTTAAAGAATATTAGTATATATATATACATAACTTAAAATTTGTAAAAATGTGTTTAGAGATAATCATTTATATCCATATCAAACAATGCAGATAACATGCCACCACAGTATACAACTCTCATGTAAATTTAGCCCTTGTAAGTGCTCTATTCATTGCTCCCTGTGTCTGATGTCACAAGTACAGTTGTGATCAGTCAAGAGACATTATTTTAAAAAAAGTTTTCTCCTCTCTTTGAACTTATCTGAATGCTTACCTTGTTGTGCTTAGTAACATCACACACCTTGGAATCTAAAAGGACACTAACCACATCAAAATTTCCATGGGAAACAGCATAGTGCATAGCTGTGTTACCCTAGGGGCCATGAAATAAGATGTAAAAAATATGAGTTTAGAAACAATTAATACTGTAACACTGTCAAATTATAATTTCAAAAGAATAATCATAAGCCTATAACCTATTTTATCAATACCTGTAATGAATCAGGATGTAAAGAAATCTGCCTAAATGATGTTTGTATCCAGTACCCTCATTTTAAGCATGTATTTTAATGCTGTTACTCTATGAGCTGAAGTACAAATTTCCAGCAGGTAAATCCCCACACTAATCACTAGATTATACAGTGCGAATGAGGAAGAAACTTTTGTTTGTGCCTTTGTCTATGTACTGTTTAAGATTAACAAAACAGATGACATTTTCTCACTAAAACATTGAGCTCTTTTCTTTTTACAGTCACAGAGTATAGTCAGTTCATAAGCTTAACTGTAAGCCTCATTATTCTAGAGAAAAAAAAAGAAAAGACTGATTTATCTATGTATTTAACATACATAAATATAGTTTAATAGTGACTCTTCAGAAATACTGACAATTAACTGGAAATCAGATTTTTTTAGCTGAGTTTCAGTATAGAACAATGACTGTAAAATTTAACTATTTTCAATTTTCTGAGTTTTATATTCATAAAGAGCCTCAACAAATCAGTGGTGTATGCTTTTTGAATGTTGGGTTTGTCCTCCCTTGGAAACATCTTTATTTCACTAAACTTAACAATTCTTTGATTTTGTAGAACTTGTATGATGCAGTTTTATAAGAATCCATGAGTGAAAGCAAAAGAGAAAATATGAAACATGTCAATCACACTACACTTGCCATATCAAGTGTCGACAAGGCCTTTTGGCCAATATTAGAGTTCATAAGGCTAGCTGGGATATGACAAATAGAATAATGGTCTGGACATTATATATAAATTTTCATGTAAAACACCTCTTAGGGTGTGAATCAGATTAAACAAATGGATTGTAATAGTTATCACTTTTATTTACATATCAGATCATGTAAAACAACTCTTAGGGTGTGAATCAGATTAAGCAAATGGATTGTAGTAATTATCACTTTTATTTACATATCAGATTTTTGGGTAATAGTTAATAACATAATATTATTATTATATTTTTTTTATTTGAATTTAACTTTAATAACCATTCATGAAAACTAATGAACCAGCAAGCTATTTTGCATATCAATTAATCCCTAGGAAGAAGTGTTAAAAGCATATTAAGCTGTTACTAACATTGTTATCAGTTAAATTAACAACATGACTTAATAATTGATTGGAAAACTCCTCTAAAGCATCCAGATGGTCTTCTACTACATGAGGATCGGCATTTTTTTGACTTGTTACTTTGAACCATTCCTGTTGTATGACAGCAAAGCAAGATTTCTGCAAGAAAAAGTGAAGATGAAATTATAAAGACTGAAAAGTTTGTTAGAAAAAAAGGTAATAGGGTTATGCTGAAAAAAAAGGTTTAGAGAAGTAAAGAATAAAGTAATTGTTTTACAAAAAAAGGCTTAGATAGATAATGAAGAAAATAATCATTTTATTGCATGCTTATTTTTAATGATAAAAGTAGTTGGTTGAAGTGTTAATATATTTTTCAAAGTTGTCTTTTTCACAGTAAATATATCACTCAAAGCACGTTTACTCGTCTTATAGTGAATCTGGATTGTAACAGTAATTCTTATGTGATAAAATATGCCAATGAAATTCTCAAGTTTTTTTCTTGTCATTTTGAGTAAAATTTGCTAAATGTAAATTATATACACAAAATATCCCTGTGCATCACACAAAACTAACAGAACATTTTCCACATATAACCATACTTGAATATACAAAACTTAGAAAACATTAGCAACATGGCTTAGACTAAAAATATCATAATTAAATACTGTGATTGTTTATTGCTAAAAATTAGATTTTGTCTCTTTGTAAAAACTTTAAAGATTTTCCAAATGTTTTTTAGAATTTGTTTCATCACATATTACTTCATTTACTGCAGTTTTCTCACATGGCTTAAAATTTACATTATGTAAACAATCTTTACCACCAAGTCTAATAAAGAACAAAAGTCAATATACCAATGATGTTAAAATAAAAGAACCAAACAAAAGTAAATGATGCTATTTCATAAGTTTAAAACTACAGTATTCTAATACTTTTTTAAGTTAAACTTGTGGGGACTGGACACAATAAATCTTTTTTTAACCCTTTACTATCCATGGAAGAATTTTTTTCCATTACCTTAATTGGAGTAAATATATGGGTGGATATGATGTCTAGCATGCATAAATATATAGGTGGAGATGATAAAATTTAATTATTTTTAATATCTCACCATCTTCTTTTCATCTTTATTTCCTGGTTTCACCAAATAATCATTCAGGACCTTGCAAGCTGCTTTCATTTCTTTAGTGAGTTCAGTTCTTAATAACAAGTCATAGAAAAAAAAATTATTACAAATATAATGCTCTGAATTGGCTCTAATACTGAAAATGAAGAAAACTACTGAAGAACTCATAGAAAATTAAGTAATGTGTAACATGTTAAACTAAAATTTTTATGTAATAAAGAGGATCTGACTTAATCTGTTTATAACAGTTATTAAAAGATCTGAATTGAGTAAAAATCAATTCTGGGACCACCAAGACATATTTTCATTAGTCTAAACAAATAATCTCAATTGTTAAACTATAATACATTAACAATGATGCATATTTTAGGTCATACTGGGTGATATGTATTAATTAATACAAATAATTAGGCTCAACTTCATATATCCTACTTGCAAATAAATTATATTAACAATTTACAAATTTAAATACTGATATTCATATAAAATATTGGGTCAGTATTAGTCAATACTAAAAAATGAGTCACCTTTCTCCTCTCATTTGCTGATAACAATTAGAATCTGATAATACAGTACACTTTATAAACTGGCTACTTCCTTTCTTTAATGATTCTAGCTTTATATACTAGGTGAGTCTTTCTACTGACCAAAACCATCATCCACTTTTAAAAACCTTACTTTGCATGATGAACAGCTTCAAACATTTCAGCTCCTGGCTTCTTCAACTTGATGGCCAATTCATCAACACAACAATTTATGATATTTCCATCATAAGAGCCTTCCTCTGGGCTACTGCTACTCTCGGAGCCAGAACTTTCTGTTGTGTCTGATTCACTACCACATGAGAGTTTTACGGCCTTCAATCTACTTTTGTTGGAACAACTGAAATTTGAAGCCTTTTTTTTTCTTTAACGATAATAATGAAAAAAATACAAATATAAATACAACTTCTTTGCTGATGTTTCTAATTGTTTTCCAAACTGATTGTCTTTTTCCTCACCACTAGGAACCTTTTATTTATTAATATGATATTAATATAAAATAAAATGAAAGTGGCTAACTTATACTCTATGAGTATACAATTTAAACTCTTTTCATTTTTTTTTTTTTTGTTATAAAGATATAATACACAGATAAGTCTACCTAGTCCACAAACAATGGTTATCTATAGCTGAAGAGATAATATAAGTATATATCTGCTAACAAACAAAAGATATTATTGGTTAGAAATTTATGCTAGTTAAAAATGCAAATTTTAAAAATTATTTGTCTTCCTGATTTTTCAATGAAGTAACAACTACAAAAATATTTAAAACTAGTGTTAAGTAATACAACATCAGGTGTATATCCTTTGATATTCCACCAGCTTCATTGATCATTTTCTAATTATCTGAAATAAATATACAACTACAGGTACATGTGTGTCAGGAGCTATGGGTCCAGTGGTGAGACAGTGGCAAGTCTACAGACTTGTAACACTACAATCTGGGGTTTGATTCCTTGCGGTGGACACAGCAGATAGCCCAAAACACACACACACACACAAGAGCTAAGGTGATCCTAACTTCAAAAATAACATGACATTACCTCTTTTTTTTTTTAAGTTATTCATTTCTAACCTTAATGAAACATTCTAGTTGATATGGATCTTCAAACATTTCCACTGATCAAAATATTAAGAAATATTAAATTTTCATACATGGCTGACCTGAAAGATTTAGTATTATTCTCTTTCTGTAGACTATCTTGCTTTAAAAAACTTGTTTCATCAACAGCTAATCGAGCATGGGGGTTCTGGAAACTTGATGAGTCAAAAGATGCTTCTTTTTGTACCTTAATCATAGAATGTTGCTCTGTAGTGTTGGTTTCCTCTATTGATTGAGGGCATAACTCTGAAACAACAGACTCACTGTCAACATTGACTGATCTTTTAAGTATTGGTATTTGAGAGGAGTGGACTCGATGTCTGGAGACAGACGTTGGTAAGGTATTCTTCCCTGTAGTATCCCGAGTAGCAACGGAGTAAATAGTGGTATTGCATTTGTCACACAAACGAATTCCAACACTGTTCAGGCTGCTTGGCTCTAAGAGATCTAAAAGCCCAGTTTCAAAGCTTGTATTGATTCCAATCGAGCGCCTCTGAATGAAATCTTCTCCTAAAGTTTTTCCATCAACCTTTAAGTTAACACAATGATCACATAACACACAGCCCACGTCCTCATCTCCAACACCTACAGTCTCTGTTTGGTAAGTCTTGCAGTAATCCCAACAAACTTCAGATACTGAAAAATCTCCACAGCCAACTGTTCTGGTGTCAGTTTCTCTACATTTCATGCAAGAGGTTTCCAACTGACAATCAGTGACAACATCCTTATTCTCTACTTGAAATCTAAAACAGTGCTGACAAGTTTCATCAGAGATGCTGTATGATCCAATTCCAATGCTTCGTGTTTCAACATTACAGCACCTTTCACATACAACATGATTGACTCTTCCTGTTCCTACACCCCTCTCTGTGGTATTTTTATAATTCACTGTGTCTGCTTGGACACAAATGTGCTGAACATCAGTATTAGTGGTTTGTAAAGCAGCATCCTTGGTTTCAACAACTTGTGGGGAAACCTGTAACCCTACAGAAATCATGGTTGAATAGCCACAGCTTGTGACAGGATGCCTTCTGGAGATGAGTTCCTGCTGGCTCAAAACATCAGTCATCTTTAGCTCAGTACATGTTCCACTTTCTTGCTGTGTTGTTACTTCAGTATTCATTCCACAAGTAACCATCAGGGAAGACTTAAATTTAGAGGAAATATCTGACACAGGGACACAATCTCCAACTGCAATGTTTTGGAACTTTTGATGTAACTTTCCCTTACAATTTGTACAACATTCTGGTTGAGGTACAATGGATATATGCTCTTGAGTATCAAATCTTATCTGATCTACCTTAAGCTGTTGGTTATTTGTATGCCCATCTGTATTTGTACTCTGAGTCTCGAAAGTTTTATTAAGTAACTCCTGACATTGAACACCACTCAATATTTGGGGTGTTGATGTATATTTATTCTCTTTTTTAACTTCCAATTCACCCTCTGAAGACTCAGAGAAGAATGAACAACCTGAAGATGACCACTTTCCCTCTTGTTGGCCACATTTAATGCAAACATATTGAGAAGCTATATGTACATTACTATCACCTACACCTATTGCATGAACCTTTTCTGGAACATACCCAATGCCAATGTCTTGAGTGGGAAGAAGTTTATGAGTGGCAGTAATTTTCATGTTATTTACTCTGTTAACATCCCTACTTTCATTAGAGAGTACTTCATGGTCACTAAAATACTTTTGCTGCATATCACTATTATCCAATTGCTTCTTTCTAGAGATACTTGCACTCAAAGAAGCTGTCAAACCTGGAGAAGAAAGGTCTTCTTCACAAGATTCCAATCGACTTTGACTGTTGTCTGCAGCTAATGATGGACGAACAAATGTTTTTCTTTTAAAATATGAGGAAAACTTGCTTGGGCCATGGAATCTCATAGAAGAGCCCTCCTCAAGTTCTTCTTCACCATCACTTTTGGACCTCTGCTTAACAGGTTTTACCTCTAGTTTAGTGGGTGCTTTTTCTGCTTTGTTTTCTTTGGCTTTTATCTGGAGAATCAGTAAACGTTTCTCTTCTTTTAGAACTGAAAGTTGAACCTAAAGAAAATTATTGTAGAATATATTAGGAAGAAAATACTAGAATTTGAAGCACAACAAATATTCCAATATAATGTGATTCCTCAGTAGTATTTCTTTTGCCAATCTTAAGTAACTTTCATTAACAGATGAAATAAATACAACTTTTGACAGTCATAACGAAGATATATCATTAGATGAAATAAGCTTATAATTTCTTAAAGCTAATACAATGTTTTCTCTTTGTAAATTAAACTTATTTGACTTTCTAATTTCAATGTAAATTATACAATGTACAGAATTAAAATATAAAACAGCTCACCTGCAAAACAGCTAAGTTTTTTACTTTTTCTTCTAATTCTCTCATCCTCTCAAGACTAGTGGCCATCTGTTGACGAATATTTTCAAGAACAGGTTTAGGTATTATGGATCCACCTGGTGATGTGACTGGAGACTGGGAAGTAGCAGAGTTTAATGCTTCTAATGTATAAGCAATCTGCTGAGAACCGGTGGATACTGGGTACATCTGTATGGACAAGGTAAAAGTGACTTTATTACACAACTTATACATTACGTGTGCATGAAGCCATTCTATATTTTAAACTTAAAAGTCACATTACACATACAAACTTTATTAACCTAAATCCTATTTTAGGATATGTCTACATATTTATTATCACTGTTAGATATAGAGTTCACCTGTCACTTGACCTCTGACCTACTGAATTCAGAATGACTCTCTACAAGTATCAATAAAATTTGATTCAGTTCTAAAAAATAATTGGAAAACTTTAATTTTGTACAGAAATGTGCTAAATAAAACAGCTATCAACTACATTAGATATGATTATTAGTTAATATCATGCAAAATAAATCCTTTTATTCGGGTTTATACCTGCATTTAGCATTACATAAATAAGTCTTAAACATTAAAACATTTCATTCTTGAGTGTATACAGTCATTAAATAAAATCACAAACATATTTAGCAACAAAAAGAATCTTAAGTTTTTCTGCAGTGGACAAACTCAAATCTTTTGATCTTATCAGAACTAAATTGAAACCGACAATACTGTACAAGCTATGCACAATAAACGATATAATGAAAATGACAAATGAAATATGATATAAGAATACCAAGTGCATTTTCAAAATGCAAATAGAAAACAAATCTTATCATCATGCTGCAACGCTAGTAAACTTTTTTACAGAATTTACAAACTGAATGAAATGATATCTGTAAATGTTCATTAACTTTTTTGTCACATTTCAAATACATTTTTCAATTTTAACAATTTTTTTTAATTACTTTGGTAAATCTTCCATGTAGAAAGTATGATTTCAGACAATGGTTGATTTTTTACTTTCACACATTTGTTTCCAGTTATGCTTTAAACTATCTAAAGTCAGTCATCCAAGATAATAGAACACAATGTTTTGATTAATAAGCTGGATGATAATTCACTAGACTATGTGTAGATGACCCCACAAATAGACTAAAGTATATATTTCTAGTTTTGTTTTTAGAATATACATCAAACATGTGTTGGCTTATAGCTTAAAATCTTAGTCATGTACATCTTGGCCTAAAATCGTATTTTCATTTATGTGCATTTTTATTGTTTGCTGTTGCTAGTGGTAGGGAAAATTGTAGAATTTTAGGTTATATTTACAGTAATACTAAATACAAGAGGTTGTAATTTCATTGTATAGGTCACTGGTTAGACTACAATTAGTGTATTGTGCTAATTCTTGGGCTCCTTTCCTTAGGAAGTGGTTTTAATTTTGTTGAAATTCAATTTTATGCAAATCTACTTGAGAGTTATCTGTGCTAGCATCCCAAGTTCAGAAGTGGTAAACTAGAGGCAAGACAGCTAGCAACACCACCCACTGTCAACTCTTGGGTTATTCTTTAGCAATGAATAGTTGAATTGACCATCACATTATAACACCCCCACACTTGAAAGGATGAGCATTATTTGGTAACAAGATTCAAATCTGTGACCTGCAGATACCTTAGAAACGATTTTAAAGTGTTGGAAAGGGTTCAGAGAAGCGCTACTAGGATGGTACCTCGGATGGAATGGTTGTCATAAAAGGACAGGTTAAGATCTGAAACTGTTTCCTATTGCAAAAACAGTTAGAGGAGATCTAATTGAGGTGTTTAAGATTGTTAAAGGAATTGACAGTGTCGATGCATCATCTTTTTTTCACTTAATGGTGAGAATGAGGACTTGGAGACATAAATATACATTTTGGCAGGATTGGAGTCATCTTCAACTAAAATATTTTTATTTTTCTAACAGGTTAGTTGGCTTTTGGAATGGGTTGCCTTCAGAGGTGATGGATGCAGTAAATGTAAGGAAGTTTAAGGGTAGGCTTTATAAGCATTTGAATGATGAGGGCTGGCTTCGAGTTTTTTTTTTTTAAGTTTAGTTTAGAGGATGGAATGACCCTGCTGTCCTTAAATTTAATGTTATTGTGCAAATATGAAATAATGAATCACACACACACACACCATGAGCTTTAACCATTAAAACATAAAAGAATCATATTAACACAAAACTTGTTTGACTTCTCTGCCCTCTAGTGAATATTTATTCTTCCAGATCCACCGCAATGGGATTGCTTTAGGAAATTTCATTAAGATTACAAAGTATATCCAACAAATTAACTGTGATAAGTATTATTTTTCTACTGTCTATTAATAGCACAGGTAATTCCTAACTGTTAGACTTACTCACATAAGATGAATATTGTATGTGTCAAGACTAATTCAGGTTAACCCTAGATGCATGACAATTCATGATCAATGTTTTTAGTCACATGTCAGGTTCATACAGCCTCAAGGAAAAAGATTCTGTAACTAATTTTGTTTTTTTTCATACTGGTTAAAATGTTATTGATTATTTAGCAGCAGATAATAAAATATCTAAAGTATTTGTATATTGCAATATTTCATGTTACAGTTTTTGTGTTTCAAGTCATAAAAAAAATGCATTAATTCTATTGCTTCAAATCACAATTTTCCAGAAGTTGTCAAGACCTTACAAGCAATATGTATTTTTCAAAATTTTTAGGACTTGACATATTAACAATTGAGTTCAAAAACTTCTGATTTTATGCAGCATAAGAAATTTTCTTGATGATAATAAGCCTATGTTTGACAAATGAACGTAACTGGTACTGTAATATATTCTTTATTTACTTAAGTCACACTTTTTGTGAATAATAATCTCTATCAGATCTTACAATGAAAATATTTTATTTTGCATTTCTAACTCAGAGTAATTCTTTTTAATGTCTTCCACAATACTTTGGAATGAATTATTCTGATTTATCTCTCCATCTGTGGCTATTTATATTTTAAAGAATATATACTGAAAGAAGATTAACTTAGATTCAGTTATTATTTGCAATTTGAAAGCTCTGAAATATACTAAAAATAAATAAAATATGTACCTCTGGTGAAAAAAAAACTGTTTAATTCCAGTGCTGGAAAGAGTTGACTGGGATGAAGATGGGGATACATAGCTTATTGAATCAATTGGAATCCTAAATTCTCCTCTTAAAGGCTTCTCTGACAATGAATTTTCAGCTGAAAGACCATAAGAAGCATTTTTAGACACTCCTGGTGATAACCAAGACAGTGACCCAGGAATCACATCTGTGAAGCTGCTGTCACTCGAGACTGAAGCAGCTGGAGTTTTTACTGCATCCACAGGAGGCTCTAAACCTTGTGATTTGTGGCTGGTATATTTACTTGTGGAGTTTGCACTAAGAAATGTTTCCTCAAAATCAAGTACAGCATCTCTTAGTGCATCGTTGGTTGTTAATAAATCTTGAGGTGGTGTGTGGTGCTGAGATGAGTCCTGATTTGAAAATTATATTGATTCTTACTTATGATTTCAGAATACACTTTCAGACTAAACATGAAACGTGTCTTACCAATAATTTTTATTGAAATATGCACAACTACAAGAGTATACAAACCTTAAGTTTGGTATTGAGCCTGAAAACGTTAGTAAATCTGAAATGAAATCCACCACCTAAATATTAAGCAACTCTAACCAATCATATGCTAAAACTAGCTTGGCTATGAACATATAAACACAGGACAACTCAAACCTATATTTTTCTCCTTACAAAAATATAAATTAAATCCATTAAAATTAGGACTGATTTATTGATTAAACAAATGAGTCATAAATGATATTTTACTTTCATGAAAATGAAACTATTTTTTCAGGATTTTTATAATTTATTTGACAAAGTCTTTCGTGACAGATAGCATGCATGAATCTTGTAAAGATGATGCCATCTTCTACTATATTCCACAAATACTTTAATTTATTTCTGTACTTTTATGGACATATTCCTTCTCTTTGGCCTTCAAGAATGATTGAAATAGGAGTCTGCATAGAACGTTTTACAATAAACAAAAGGAAAAAGCATCATGATCTGTATCCAAGTTTTATTATAGTTATTATAGGTCATTATTATATTTACTTTTATAAAAATGACTTGTAATAAACTCCTGTTTGTATTAAACAAAGGTAAGAATAATAATTTTATTACAGTTACATTCTTTTATACATCAGATATTCATTACCTATTAGCATGTATCTTTCAAGGTAAAAAAATCACCAGTTATATCCAATACGAATCTTTCTATCACTGATCAGATCAAAAGTAAATCTATTACAAAAATTATAACTGATGCTAGGCCTTATTAGTAGCATTTGCACTTTCTAAAGTTTTGACTTTACTGCTATAATGAAATCTATGAACAAATGCTGATGTATAACTCACCACCATTTGAAAGTTTTCCATATCTGTCTTATTGTAAACAGTTTTAAATTCTTGCAAGTGGGCTTCCACAGATTTCCTTGGTTTTTTCTTGTTTTTCTTCATTTGTTCCAACTGATCCAAGTAAGAGCTCTTGTACAGAGTTTCACAGTACTGCACAAAACCTACATCAATATGGTAGCCATAAGGACAACACTGGCAATTGCTTCCCTCTTCCAGTTTTGTAGTGGACCTGCTGCAGAGAGCTGGCATGGTGGAAGACTTTAGAGGTGTCCTTCGTATTTCTCCTTGAAAAAGGAAACAAAAACAACGATATTGTTTTATGATGATTATGCTTCACTTCTGTATTAAAAACCTCAGTAGTGACAAGCACCAAGTTTAAGAAGGTAAAAGTAATCGGTGCATTTACATACAAAACTCAACTCAATCACAAGTGAATTTAAAATAATGTTCAACAACTAGGTCAGAAAACAAAGAAAGGACTTAACTGACTTATATTGTTCTTGTTAGTTACAACTAAAACTTTTACTGTTGAAATTAGGCCAAGTACTTAACTAGTTATAACCTGTCATAATTCCAGTACATTAATGTGTAGACTTGTTAAAAGCAGCTGTACAAGATAAGAGATAGAATTCATAACAGTCAAATTAACTTCTTTGAAAAAATCTACACACAAATAATATTACAAAGTTGCTGTATATGTAGATTTATTATTACCTTGTAAGTACATTTCCAGGGCTAAGAAATATACAATGAAATATACACATTACAAAGAAGAAATTAAAAAGAAATTACCATAACATTGTTCATTTTCCATCTTTCTCTCTTGACTTGTAGCTGAAATACCAGTTCCCGTTTCTCTTTTTTTTGGCTGTTACTCAGTTATAATACTGTTGCTCATCAAAAAAACGTCTTTTTCCTTCATGTTGTAATTACCTGTCACAAATAATAAAATGTATGTAAATCTTTCATATTTCACACTATAATTAATGAATGATGTTTTTGTTCAAACACACTGACTTTGATACTATTGCACTGCAAAAGAAGATAAGAATGTTATTCAGCTTTCTAGCTAGATATTTCATTAACATTTTCTTGAAGTTGTAATTCATTTAAAAAGGCATACAAACCTTCAGCAAGTTACATTCACTGTGACTGACCTAGCTAAAGATGATGACTGACAGAACTCTGAAATTCTTAAGTGGTCATGATATAGGTGTTTGGTTATTTAATATACGTCTTGAAGCACAACTCCTGCACTGAATATGAAACATTCTTTTTAATTAAAACTGCTTATATATATAAAGAATCAATAATTTTAAATAACAATGATATAATGATAAAACATACAAGTTATATTAAAATAAATTAATAAATCATAAAAATTATCATGACTTTTTTTATACTTCTTATCTGACTGAGGAACGGAATTTTTACTTACATTTTGAAATGTATTCAACTTTTAGCACTATATAATACTTAAACTGTTACAGTATCAAAAATGAAACTTAGAAGAAAATAGAAATGTATGATTGGCAAGAAGAGATCATTGCAGCAAAATCTAAAATATTGAAATTCCAAATTATGGAAAAAACCAAAAAAAAATACCCAATCACTTCAAACATTAAGTCAGTTCAATTAATTAATTCTGAGCTGGAACAAAAATTACCTTTATCAGTACTAAGTCACATTATATATATATATACTCAAACTTAATTACTTTAACATTTTATCTGCTACAGTGTTTATCTTGCTTAGTTGATAGAAGCTTTGCTGAGTTGCAAGATAAATGTACCACTACATATCTTCAAGTAACTAATGTTTGCTGTTACCTAGTTCAAGTCACAATATAGTTTATACAATATCACACATTTGGTATATGGAGCTTAACCCATTTTTAGGATTCTAATACATATAACAGTGTCTATTTTTTAGATATACATGTAACGAAATTCACAAAACACAAATATAACAAGCAACCTTTCTATAGAAAAATACATTTATGATTAAAACATTATTTACAGTTCTATATGGTACATATTCAAAGTTTCAATAGAGCCTACAATTCACATCATAACAAAATTATAACTAACAAAAAAAAAAAAAAAGACATGAACACAAGGTAAAACACTTAATTAGCATGATCATCAATAATGTGTTGTTTATCAGCAAGTCTCAAACACCAGTATATTAAGCTTTAAAACAATTACTGTTGCTGATAGTCTTATTTGCTTTTCTGTACTGCTAACTTATTATAACAGCTTGAAAGAATGTAACTTTTGGTGTGGAAAAACTTAAAATGCTTTGCAATGTAGTAATGAAGGTGTAATTTATTTTCTTAATGTTACAAGTATGATTTAAAGATGAAATGCATGTTTTGCTGTGCTCATACAAGATGTTCTTCAGAAAAAACAAAACGCTCCTTCCACATCAGACTATTACATACAAAAATACCTCCCCCTCTCCTCCATAATACAAATTCAGTTTCAAATAAAACTTGGGGAATTAGTACATTAATGTACTACTTTCATATGTGCAAAGTTTAATATATACAAATTTACTGTGATATCTATATTTTATATTAGTTTTATACAAAATACGATATAGAATTTTGTTGAAAACCTTTTTTGCTATTTCCAACTATCTAAATAAATATTGGACTTTTCCTTACAAATTACGTACAGAAACTTTTATTTCACTATACGATATTCTGCCCAGTATTAAAAAAATAAACGTTGAATTAATTAGTTGATTATGCAATATGGGCAAAAAAAAAAATCTACCATAACATCAAAAGAAACACAATTTATCTTTGTTTTCAGATTTGAATGTTTGAATATAAATAACTGTGTCCGTAAATTATGAATAACAATGTTTCATCTAGCTTCTAACTAATAAAAGTACAAATCAAAATTTTATATTGCCATCAAATTCTAATTCGGTTATTAACTAATTTATAGCACTGTAATGTGAAGTACGGGCTATTTATGGTACCCTAATAAACAAAATACGGTGCAACTGTAAGGTCTGTAACGGTTGGTTTAGGTATCAGTATCATTAACTCACTTGTTATCAAGTCGTTTTTATAAAGTTTCCAATGCTTCCTTCTTGATTTACAGTTACGCCCAATTTGCATATACTGATACAGTTGGAACAGTTCTCCTAAATATCTAAAAGACAAATGCAGGAGGAGAATAGCATAATTCGCGCTACTCAAATTACACTCACTTTAGAAACTGAGATAAAAGTTGTTTGGTAACGGATACTGTATGAAGTGACTCTTTCTCTTTTTTTTCGGGGAAGTAAAGCAAGCGTGCGGCTACCGGTGTTACAATGTCAGATTATTTGAAAAAAAGACTGCGACTGCTGCCAGCTATCGCGATTAAAGTACGTCCCGGAAGATTCTAGATCAACACAATAGCATAACGGTCGTTTCTTTTATGTTTGTGATTCAACGATGCGAAAAGATATTTATTTTTTTAACACGTTTGTATGAGAAAAGAGAAATGCTACTGTTGGAATAGTTGATAGAGAAATGTCGCCAGAGGCTCATATTTACTTTTTTTTCTCTCTCTTTTAGTTGTATAAAAATGTGTCCTTTGGATTTCATCTTAAATTAGCCCTGCCCTTAGGAATGTATTCGCTATGATATTAAAGCTCCTTCACAAATTACACCTTCTATGAACTACCTACTGTCCGCTCATCTTATTTTGTTCAATACATAATAAATTAAAGTTCAGATTTTAAAAAAAGTCAAGCTTACTAAATTTTATGAAACTTTTCTTTGGGGCTTGACATAGAACGGAATTTTTGCCGCCAAAAAGCTGGTAACTGGAAAGAACTACTCGCAGTGTATGGCGTATAATCGAATAAAACATAGATTGGACGGCATTCTCAAATATTTTGAACAAATCTGTTCACGTACTCAGAGCGCCAACTGTCAAGAATTTACATTTAAGTTTAAACATAAAGATTATTGACACAAATGTACTACGCCAATTCAATGGAAAAGGAACTTAGAAAGTTGGGCCCACATACACTCAGTTAAACAATTGTCTGTTTGCCATCACTTAGAATTGAAAATATACAAGTGAAGAAGAAACTTTTCAAAAAATGAATTAAATGTAGGGATGCCTAATATTAATCCTTAAAAAACAATGCAAACAAGATAGTAGGGATGACATTTGCATCATCTCTACATAATAGCACAGGCACACAGTGTAGTAGAGTGTTAACAGACAAAAATGGAATAGATTAAACTCAATTGTGATTGAATAGTTATAAATATTGCTATATGTTAATTCTTGCCTGTGCTATTATGTAAAGATGATACAAATGCCATCCCTACTATCTTGTTTACATTGTTTTTGGAGGATTGATATTAGCCATCCCTATATTTACTTCCTTTAAAAAAAAAGTTTTTCTTTATTTCTTCACTTGTTGTTTTTTTAATGCAGTGTTTCAGTAGGCATAGGAATGTTGTATTTATAACCAAGTTCTAAATACAATGAGGTTCTAACTGTAACATTTATTGTTTATCTGTTATTGGCTGGTGATTCCTGTTTCGCCCTGTACTTAAGCTTGTTGAAGGTACACCAAATTTTTGTAAGAAAGCTAACTTAAAGAGGTAATGATGGCATCATTTACACTAGAATTATGATTTGTTTTTATTACTACTAGTTAATAACACTTAAAAAGTGGATACTCCGTTTGAAACTATGTCACCTCAGTGAAATTGAATGAAAAGCAGAATAAAGAAGAACAAGAAATTCCAACTTTTTGTTATGATACTTACAGACATTTCTAGAACTTCTAACTCAGTCATTACATAGATATTGTTATAATAGGAAACACTGTATAGTATTATAAAGTTCTGATGACCTATTGAAGTGATATTTAAAATACCATTTCGATGAACAGTCCGAGCCATCCTTACAGAGGCAATGCTACCGCCTACCTTATATATCGAAAATAAAAATATAGCTCACTTTATCATTTGATTCACACTATATAGCCCCCCAGTGGCACAGCGGTATGTCTGCGGACAACGCTAGAAACCGGGTTTCGATATCCGTGGTGGGCAGAGCACAGATATCCCATTGTGTAGCTTTGTGCTTAATTCTAAACAAACAAACACACTATATATGTCACTAAGTAAGGCCGATTTCCGGGAATTCCACTACTCATCAGTAATCCCTGACCAGTTGTTGGTTGATTGTTTTAATGATTCGATAAAATCTACACGAGAACTGTTAGCACCAGCTGTCCCTAAATCTGAACTCATGTAGTAATCTTCTACCGTAATCCGTCTACTGACTAAAGGATTAACTTACTAGTACTTATGGCACTTTACAACAACTCAAGCTGTCGCAGAACAAGGCCCGTTATCGAGTATTATCTCAGGGTCGTGGAACGATCATCACATAAGCCAGGTGTTAGTGTTTCTTGTGGAAGTATAATTGTTGTGCCTCCCGCATACAGGATTTGCACCTCCTACATGAACGTCCGCAATGGGGGGGGGGGGAGGGGCGCGTCGTTCCCGTAACCCCGTAGTACTTTAGTTTGTTTCCGTTACCTAGGGTACGGAAACGAACGACTACTTACGTTAC